GATATCTGTAATGCTAACATGATAGACAATTCTTATTACACAAGCCTTTCAGAGTTGAAATTTGTGACTTAGAGCCAAGTTGATTAATAAAAAATCTAGAATTGTCAATTACATTAAATTAAATTATTGGTTATTTTCTTATATATAATAATTGATCAATTATATTTATTATAATTGATAAAGAACTTTAAAATTTTAATTTTACTAAATTGAAGATATTTTACAATCTAGTAACTAGAATTTAATAATTTTTATTTATTTGATTCATCTTTTTGCAACAAGTGAATGATATAAAAATTATTAAATTTTAATTATAAGTTTATAAAATATTATCAATAATCTAATTTTCAATTTTACTTATATTTATTTTATTAAAAATTCTGTTTTCTCTACAAATTTATTATCTTTGCTTAATCTAATTAATAAGATATATTTTTTCAAATTGTTTTATATTGTACCTTAGAATAATAATATTTAAAATTTAGTGAAATATAATTCAATAAAAATAATAATTCATTATAATATAGTTTTTATATTTTAAAGAGTATAAAATATAGTTAACTTAATCTTTTATTTAGTTCTTTGTATAAATATTATTTGAAATCTTTTTGTACTTCTTTTATAAAATACCAGATCTTAGTTACATGTTATTTTTTTTTATTTTAATGCTAAAATGTCTTTATATATTTGAATTATAAGTTCAACTATTTTAGATTTCTTATAAATTTTATCTCTAATAAAACTTTTTAAATATTGTGATTATTTTTGATTAATTTTAATAAAATATAGATATTCAAAAGTTTTTTCTAATACTTTTTTTTTTAAATATATTTAATTAATAAGTTTTTAAAAAATCATAAAAGTAAAAAGTACTTTAAAGTATATAAAAAATAAAAAAATTTTTTTATTAAATTGTGTTGATCATTATCAAATTGGAAGATATCTACTATACTTATAATACTAATTGTACTAGCATGACTAGTAGGTTATAGAATATCTATATAACTAATTATATAAAGGAATACAAACCAGTATTAGTTAGTATAAACTTTAAATAAGTTCTTATAAGTATATAAATCTATTAAAATTAGAAAACAAGAAACCTATTAAAAAGAACTAAGTAGAAAAGTAGTACAAATCTTTGATAACACTATTATAAAGACTAACATGAGAAAACAGATACTAATGTCAAAGTACCCAAATGAACAAAAATCTTTAGGTCAAAAGTCTTAAAAGTATTATCAATCAGATTACTGAAATGAAACAGAAGAAAAGGATATCAGACCAATCTGACATACTAATAGACTAATTATAGTTTTATATAGGTTATCTGAATTGGAAATTTGAAGAACAGGTAGAAGTATACTAAAATATTGGAGTTATGTTATAAAGTAGATGCTAGGATTCAAGAGAACTCTATAAAGACATAACAGTTAAATAATATAACTCTAACTACAAGTGTTAGTTCTGCTATAATGATATTTAAATTAACTGTAAAAATGAATACAAAAGGTTCTGAGAGGTTTATCTCAAAAATAAAATAATTCTAATATTAAGACAATAACCTAGGCTTGATCTAGTAATGTTAATACAAGTGCAGGTTCAGAGAATTTAAAATGAAACATCTAAGCAGAAGTGTTAAATATAACAATTGATATGGTACTTTTGAATGAACTCCTTAAATAGGTAATATAAAAAAGTTATACATGTAACCAATTGTATACTCTTCTTGTAGTAGTTTATAGAATCATATTACTAAAAAAGTCATTAATAAAAATCAAAAGACCAAAGAGGTCACCTTAAAAAAAAAAGAAAGTAATTATATAAAAATTTTATATAAAGGAAAATTTTATATTATATTTTTTATTTTTTATATACAGTACATATTCTTAATACTTTTATGCTTACAAATATTATTTTATTTAAAAAATCACCTATTTATTAAAAAACCATATATGAAACCACTTTTATATTCTAATAAAAGGTTTCTTTAAACAAGTTTTCTATATACTAACCTAATATCTACCATAATATAATCTCTAATCCTAAAATAATGAACTTACCAATTTGTTTTCAGATAGAATTAGTCCTCTATCACAAAAGAATAATGTATATAAAAATTGGAATTATTTAATACAACAAGGTGATCTCATGAAAAACCGCAATTGGCAAAGGCGCTGGTATCAAAGTTATTGGCTTTCAATGTGTTATTAAGAATATTAATTTTGATTGTTAAATTAATTTCTAGGAAAATTCTATTTTCATCCAGATAAAGTCACTCAAATTATAACTAATACTATTAATTTAGTTATGTAAATGACATTATAATTTATTGAGTGATTTTCACTGAATTTCCTTAATTTTTTATTTATAAAATTTCTTTTAATCACCTTTTTGGCATTTTTTTTATTTATGAATTTTATAATTGATTTTTAAATGATTGACCTTGTCAAGGGAACTTATTAATGATTTACATTTCTCAAGTTTTTATTCACACATCTATTAAGCAAATTCTATCTTGACGAAATTGAAACGTTTTTGAATATAAGAGAATGAAGAATCTTTCAATATTTTATACGATAAGCTTTGCAATATGAGCACACCATCAGCAAAAGCAATTTATAAACATGACACTGTGAACACTCAAGTTCAATAAGATTGTTAGCAAAATGCGAGATTATTATTGGGAATGTCCATTTTGGTATGACATTTTTAGATTCTTTAATAAGATGTTACGATCCAGTAAAATTATTCTTGGGTTCGAAGTTTTCTAAATAAATTGAATATGCACTTTTATGATCAAATAAAAAATATTATTATGCAATGTTTTTAGGGAACGCCTATTTCCACCAACTACCCCAGGATCGCCAATAAAATTTTGCAGTCACATGATGATCGACGACAAATTATCCAATTGTTAATCACAATTTGGTGTAACGTAACACGATCAGGAAAGTTCAAAACAAACGTTCGTTTTGTCAAAAATCGCTTATTTCTCAAAAACTTGCATAAGAAATCACCGTCTGCGCATTAACAAAAAGTTTTCCTTGAGCGATTTTGCTATTAGAATTTCTAAAAATCCTATTAAAACATAGACCCTACCCTAACATAAAGAATTTTTGTTGATATCACATGACTGCCAAATTTTGTTGGCGATCCTGGGTAAGATTATTTCCACCATGCTTTTCACATGACTTCAGCTACATAAACATGACGAACGTATGGGCTGCCGTCAATAGAAATCAGGAAGATTATCATTTTTTTAAAAAAATCAATACCTTAAATTTTACGGCTCATGTATCGATGAATTTAGAAGTTGGTTTAATTATTTAATATTCAAAAGAAAGCTTGGGACCTAAGCTTTCTTTTGGCTATTGAATAATTAAATTAGCTTCAAAATTCATCGATACATGAGCCGTAAAATTTAAGGTATTGATTTTTTTAAAAAAATGATAATCTGCCTGATTTCTATTGACGGCGGTCCATATTATCTTGATAAATAATGTCCAATGGTGGAAATAGTAAATTTCATGATGGAAATAGGCGTTCCCTTTTAAAAATACAATGATTTTCCGATTTTGCTGAGATCAAACTGGATATTCATAAGCTAAACGGAATGATAAATGGATTAAAAGAATTCAAGGGATATTAAAAATAATAAAAGTATTGCAAATACAGGATGTAATCCTTTTTTACATAATATATATAATATAATTTAGATTATAAATAATATATTAATTAATAAAAAGATTCATTCGAAGAAATTATTATCCAGATGGTGTGTGAAAGACCAGTGTTATCTTGTCCGCACCTATTTTTTGATTGGATGGTCATCAAAAAAAATTTTGTCAGTCACTATTTTTAGCCGATGGCGCTAGCTCCGGACATTTAACAGTATCTGTTTTCCTAGTTTTAGTGGTGAAGTTTGCTGAGGATTAAAATTTACGACAGCATTTAAAGGCTAAATTAAACATAATCACGAAATTGAAGATTGTGAAAGATATTAAAAAAGGCCTGAAATTTTTATATTAAAATGAAATTATTCACTGCGATTTGAGATTAAAGATATTAATAAAATCAATTGTAAACATTTGGAATTCGGAAAATGTTTTGAAAGAATGATGATTGCTGATTTTGATTTCTCAGTATTCTCAAATTCTTTGAATGAGGTTCATAGAATAATGGCATTCGTTGATCCATATTGTTGAAATGACCTATATGACATTTATGACCTGCTATAGGTCATTTGGTCATAACGAAGATTGAAATGACTTTTGACCTTTTTTCAGTAAAAATCATTGTAAAATTTTTTTTCATTAGCATTTAATATGATTGATATGGTCATAAAGAAAAAATTGGTATGACTTAGGCCATCATGTAAATTTAAATTTGCTACTAAATATGATACATCCCTCGGTTTCATTCTTTGGGAAATTTCAAGCTGTCGTAGACCATTTGATGGTAAAACGCTCCTGGAAATTATTGCACAAGAAAACGGCATGAGAGAAGTCATTTCAGGGATGTTATTAGAATATGATAACATTAATAAGAGTTGTCGGGACAAAGATCTTGCAAATCGACCAGAAGCCAATGTTGTCCTTGTGAAATTATATTAACTTTTCAAGAAATATAAATAAAATTAAATTTTACAGCGCAATATTTTGAAAATTTTTTGGGTGATTCAACCCCTGATATATAACAACCCCGGTATCAATTAGTATTTTCTATGTTTATTAGAATGATGCAATACTTTCAACACAATGTAGAATTAACATATTAATAAACTTAAACTATGAAGAATCTAATAAATTTCATGATTTATTTGGTTTAATATCTGAATTGTTGCAAAATTTATTGTACTATAAAATTATGAAACACTGTAATTTCAGCTGTTCACAAAATTACCAATAAGAATTAAAATTATGAAATAATTTCAGCAATTAACTAATAACCAATAAAAAATATAATTTAAAACTTTATCGACATCGTAACTTTTAATTTTAGCTTTTATACACTTTTTTTGCTTTTCTTGGTCCACAATCAGTCCACAAACTAAGAATATCGACCTGTTTATGTTGATTTTTTTCACGTTCAAGTTCATCATGCGGAAATAATGCCGCAGGAATAAATATTGTTAACATTACAAACAACCCAAAGAATATCCACATTACAATAAAATTTGCAGCACGAAGTTGACAAGCCTTATAATAATCAGAAGTTATGTAAGTCTCATTCGATGGACAATAAAATGGAATACCTCCGATATCGTCACGTGTGAAAAAGGTGTAAAAAACTGGTTTCATTTAGATTAAGGTGAGATACGAATTTAAAAGAATTTAATGAGAGACGATTTGATTTTTACCTGAAATGAATAACCATAATAGTGTCCAAAACCTAAAATTAAATTAAAGCGAGAATAAATAGAATAAATAAAATAAATAAATGAAGATCAAATATTTACAAAAATAGCTGTAAACAGTTACAATAATTTTAATTCTATTCCCTTTATCGTAAGATCTGGCTTATAACAAAAATTGAAAACCGACGAGAGAAAAATCCAACCTTTCAATTTGGGCAAACAGAAATAATTCATGAAAAGAATTGTTTAAAGTTAAATGAGAATATTTGGTATGCTGAATATTATGAAACGTAAGAGGGTATACAATAGAAATACTTACATGGCAGGATGAGAGATACCACGAAATAACTAAATTTAGCGAAAAGAAAATTTTATAAATTTGATAGAGATAAAAAGATTTGAATGATTTTGGATAAACTTACATATACTCCATTGGGATGTTTAAGTTATATGGATCTCCAACATTCAAAAACGTCATAATTTTTACAATTTCTGATAAAGAATGGTTTGACATCAAAAATTTAAATCTTTCTAAATAAATAAGTTAACAATCATTTTAAAATAGTAAATATTTACCCAACACTGGACAAGCAAAAGCAAACAATATAGAGAAACTTATAAATATTGCCGCAATAATTCTCAAGATTCTTATAGCATTCATCCTTATCGATCAACTATATACGTGATTGAATCTTAAAATATAAAATACAAAATTCAAAACATAAATATTTATTTCGAAATATTTGTTAATTTGTTCTACGTGATAGAGTATGTACGTGCAGTACTCAGTTTTGTCAATTGTCTTTTTTTTAATTTTTATTTATGTCTAAGCCTCAGTGGCTTATTGTTTGATAATTTATATTTTTACGTAAGCATTCCAAGGTTAATATCATTTATAAGAATATTAAATAACAGGATTCACGAAATTTCGTTCATTTTTTCATAGTCATACCGATACAATAATCTTATGTTAAACCATATCAATATCAATATCGACATATGACTCAACTCGTAATGTCACGTCTTAACGTTAAGTAATAATGCAATTACAATATTAATAAAAAACTTTCAAAATATGTAAACATCAACTAATAAATAATTATTAAGCCAATCTTAAAAAACATTACACGTATAAAATAAGTAAATTGGATTTTGACACTTGTACATTTATTTTATAGCACCGCAATTCGTTCCTCGTCAATCTCCTTTCTTTCTTTTCTAAATCTTTGTGGTACATTTCCTTTTCCAGGTTCAATTCTATCTTTTGGTTTAGGTAACATATCAGTAAAAACTGCAAGAACGAAAACTATTGAAACTACAGCAAGCGCCCACATTGAAATTAAATTTGCCAGACGAACTCGGCATGTAGTTTTGATCAACGATGAACTGTAATGATAGTCGTCTGGACATGAAAATGGGATGTCTCCCATTTCGTTAATTGTTAGGATCGTATATGCGGCTATTTTACAATGAATGGATTAAATTTCAAGACAAAATTATTATAATCATAATGCTTTATGGATTTGTTGCTTACTTGAAATTCCTATCCAGAATATTGGCCAAATACTATTCAGGTTTAAGAAAAGATCTTAGATATTTATTCATAAATTAATATTTACCATGTTTTAACTTACATTAAAATTAATCTCAGACTAGCTGGTGGTGTTCTAATTCCCCAGTTACAATTTCCAGTAATTATCAATATTAATATACCTAAAGATGAATCTGTTAATACATGATACAATTAAAATTGTTTGAAAATAACATATACTTACAGGGCAAGATGAGTGAAATAATGATATACCTATATTCCCCATTTTAAAAAATAAAATAAAATTATAAATATATGTTTATTGTAATTAAACTGCACTATAACAAGAATCAAGTATTTGTTTCTGTCTACCCATTTTCGATATATGGATTAAACCGAAGTAGTCCACCACTTTGTCTAAAAAGCTCAAATTTTCCTATTGCTATATAATCGTCCAAGAGATCATAATCAGAACTTTAAAGACAGTCACTATATTCAAATATTCAAATTCAATTACAACAAATTAAATTATTACCAAGAGATGGACAAAGAAATATCGCAATAACCAAAACTACGTCTAAAAATGCCGCAAAGATTAATTTAACCCTTTGAAAATCTGCCATAACTAAACTTTTAGATACTGCGTACGTAAAATGTAATAGTTTTTACATGAAATTTGGTTTTTCTAATGCAATTTTTTTAATATATCGTTTAAAATTCATTAGATTTATTATTGATATACCAAGTGATTCGAGAAACACCAGGCCAAATCAAATTTTAGAAAAGGCTTAGTCATGCCTTTTAAAATACCTGTGGCTTGTGCATAGCCTATCTTGTGTCCTGAAATCTTGATGATTATGAAAAACAACCTGAATTTTCGTGGACAATAGATCCTTTTTTATATAACGATAATGGTAAGTTACATTTTTAGTCTTGTCATTATGTTCCATTCGAGTTCTTATATCGGTGGTTCTTATATCGATGTTAACGATTACTGTTACACTTTTCAATGTTTACAATCAAATTTATCGTTATGGCTAAAATTTGGGATCGAATTTATTTTATTTTATTTTTTAAATCCAAACTTATTTAATTGGCGGCTTCAGGTTTAAACTCCGAATGATTAAATCGATATCCAGTTTTTTTATTTAAATAATCTACTTTGTTGATGAAGACCAGCTCCAGACTTAATTATCATCTTTATATGTGTGTTAGTATACATCAATACGCGTAAATCTACCTGATTGTACACTCGATGACAAAGGCATTCAAGCCATGAATTTGTCATAATAAAATTTTATTGGCGGTCGAATACTTGGGACGTTATACTGACACTGTAATTTACATGATTTTCTTATTGGCACAGCAATAATTAACATTGATACCTCATATTTTTTATTTGCCTTCCTGATCTAATTAATTTTCTTTAATTTCTCGAAGCGCGATAGTTCATAACGATAATATATTTTGGTTTAAAAAATGGGATACCAATTGCTGTGTTGATAAGAGATAAGTCATGTGAATTGCTGTGTTAGTGTAACGTTCCCGAATACTTTTTTCATTAGTTCATTGGTGTATATAGGTCAAGTTTGGTTTACGATTCGGTGTATTCAGTTTCATTTTCAAATTCGGGATTTACAACAGTTTACCTAAATTCTGAGACAACCAAAAAAATTTTTCGAAGAATGAATCGATAAGTTCCGAAATTGGACTAAGTAAACGACGAAGCCTGTTTGAAATCATAAACTTATCGATTCGGATTTCGGCAATTTTTTTTCATCTAAAATCAGTTTTTATAAAAAAAGTATTACTCATATTTACTTTTTAGAAGTGCATATGGGCTAATTTGACTTCTTATTATAATAATACATATGAATGCGTGAGAGTGAAAACCTGGAAACCGATTTAATGATTTACTATGATCGAGTTTCCAGGTTTTTACTCTCACGCACTCATATACAGTTGACTTTGGATATACCGAACTGCATATTCTGGGATTTTGATCGGTATAGAGTGGGTTCGTTATATAGATTATTTTTTCTATACCGAACCAATGAAATCATGCGTAGCGTCAGTAAACCTTCGGAAATTCTCGAAAACTTTTGCTCCGGTTCGGAATCTTTCGGAACAGGTAACAAACAGTTCGTTATATCGAAATATGTGAAATTTGTGCACATAGTCCTGGGTTGATAAAGAAGAGTTCGGATGCGGTATATAAAAATGTACTATATAAGTTCGGTATGGCCAACCTAAATTCTTATAAAAAATCTGTTCTGCCAGATCTGGTTCGTCACAACCCGAGTTCAGTATAAGCAGGTTCGGTATATCCAGAGTCGACTGTATAATAATTAATTTTACATACAGTATATGTGTATACTGTATATAAGACATCAGATACAAAAATAATTACATAAAGATTTTAAAAAATTTTAAAATTTTATTTTGAAGAATATTACTTTATACTAATGATTTTGAAACCACTTACTTTATAATGATTCAAAAACTATTTTAAGTTTATAAAAAGATTTTAATAAACATTTCATAATCTTTCTATTCAAAATAATTATGATCCTTGTATTTAATAGAAATAACCTAAAAGTTTTGCATATAAATGATTTAAGGATTTTGTATATAAATAATTTAAAGATTTTTTAAATAAAATAATATTTGTAAGCATAAAAGTATTAAGAATATGTACTGTATATAAAAAATAAAAAATATA